CAGGTTTGGCTGAGTCCGCCTGTGCTTCAGCAGGTGGGCTGGGCGGCTGCTGGTCGTCCGTCGGCATGGGCGTGGGAGACTATGAAGAGTGAGGTGCAATGTATGAGATGCAAGGCCAGAATGCGAGAGACAAGGATATCAGAACGGGAGAAAGATGAGAGCTTGGTTTGCCCAAGAGAAAGGGAGAAGAAGGGTGGTAAGGCCTTAAGCTTTTTTATTTGATCACGAACTACCTCCAGTCCAGCAAAAAAAGCGGCAGGCAAGGCGACACATTGGTGCATGCGGATTTGCTTCCCTTTCTCTTTTTTTTTTTCCCTGGGAGGCGCATGCTCATACCTGGATATGCTGCTGTTTTTCTTTCGTCCGAGACAAAGCAGAGATGTACCCGGGTATGCACCATTTATTTGTCATTGGCTGACAACGCATGGGCTCAAAGAAAAAGGGAGAACCAGCGGTCCTGTTCGGGTGCCTCAGCGCGGGGTGGGGGGTAAGGATAACGGAAAGGTCTGTGCCTGGCAGAAACCAGAAAATAAAATAAAACAGGGAGGCGCACACAACAACTGAGACCTTGTGCTTGCTACCATGTTGGGCGATAGGATAGTGTTGTCACAGGAGCGGCGTAAAGGAAGGGGAAAGGATGAAGCTCCGTGCGGATAATCGGCCCTCATCGGCCAATAATTTTAGTAGATGGGCTCTAGATACGGCAGAGATTCCCTATCGTATTAGATCGGGTGTAACGCATCCTCTCCCTCCGCCGTCTACCCACGTACCTGCCACATCACTCTTTTAATAGAAAGGGAGACCAAAAGGGGGAGAGGATGCGACAACGCTACTACTTCAAGTGTGGGAAAAAACAATGGCAACAGCCTTTGACGCAATGTGGTCTAAATACGGGAAACGGCGTGCTCCAATAGGGTAAATCCCTTTCACATACCAAATATAACGTAACCTATAGCTTTTTAATCCAGGCTGGCCAGTAACTAAACAAGATGCAAGAGTGGAAAAAACTGCGTGTTGGTTGTGTTAGCAAAAGAAAGGGGAAAAAGGCGTACCGACTTGGATGTCCATTGTTACTGTAGCACACTGTATATTACCCTCAATATTCGTAACAACTTTGTTGGGTATAATGCATGATTTGGACAACCCATCTAACAGTGGCTGGTAGTCTGGCAGATTGAGTCCTGCATTGTTTTGTGACCGGATGAAATACAGCCACAGCCCGGCTTATTTTGCTGTTGTTGTTGTTGTTGTTTGCATCTGAAACACATGGTGGCATAAGAGGGCGGTGGAAAGCAACAATGGCCTACCTTGAATGTTTAGAAAACAAAAATATAAGAGCGAGGGAGGAAAAAGAGTGGACGCAGGGACGTTTGCGTCTGGCTAGAAGGTGTATGAACCTCCATTGAAATGCGGTACGTGAAGCGGTGACGCCGCAAGTTTTTACACTGCATTGCATGTGTTGGGTACCAAGAGGTGGAAGATCCACAAACGCAGCATCCTTGGATGGGTCCAGCATCCTACGGCGAATTTTTTTGCTGATTTCCCCATTCTCAGACATGGGCGACATTAAGGATTTTCGCCACCACTTTTTTGCATCTCTAGGAGGGAGCGGAGAATGCAAGCAGCTTGCCACGGGGTTTATTAAAGAGGTTGCTGTCTGTCGGGCAAATAAGCCTTCTAGATCACCTGGGCTGTCACTCATGTGAATGAAAACGCTTTGAATCTCATGATGTGTACGCTTCTGCCGCTTGTCGGCTAAACCGCCATTTACTTTAGCCGGAAAAAAGTCGGTGAGCATCTCCGCTTCCGTCTCCGTCTCCGTCTTCACTTGTTCTAAACGTGAACACTTTTCAGCTACTGACAAAATGAGCCACGTGTGTGCGGCCCCAATTCTTGTGCACATGTCGGATGGCAAAGATGTCACCGACTGACAGTGCATGCAGAGGACGTTTTATTTTTATCATGATACCCAACATTGTTGACAAGCGATTTCACCGAGTAGCAAGTGGTTTCAATATCTGATCTGCTATTTCTGAATACAACCATGCTAAACTTGCTCCAGTTATCCAGATACGCGCTTCACTTTCTTTTGGGCACTGCAGCTTTGTTGATGAGGAAAGGGGGGCACTAGATGGGCTTCACTTGCGGAACATGTCCTTGCGGTGGCTGGGCAGCTCTTGGCGGTTGCGGACCATCCATGCAATGCCGCATGCATTGCATAGTGTCTTTGGACCGTTGGGGCCTTGTCGCTGAATCGGCGTCACCGAGCTGGAGCACCCGCAGTGCTGACACTCCCACGTACTCAAATCCAGCTTACTGTAGTTGCGAGGCGTTGACGGCCGCGTCGGCGTCGATGGCCGTGTAGGCGTTCCAGGCGCTCTGACGCTGGTGTGCGTCCTTCGCATCGGTGGCTGTGGCGTAGTAGCGCCGCTACTCTGTCCACCGTCATTGCCGCCGGCGCCACTACCGCTGAGCGAGAGTTGGTTGTAAAAAGCCGAGTTGATATCAGGGAGCTCCAAGCTAGACACGGCGGCCGTCGACTCTGTGGGCAGGAACTCTGGTGGCAAAAAGTTGAATGTGCGCATGTGTGAGCCACGCTCTGACCGGCGCATGCGCCGGTAGCTACGCTCCTTGTGCATCCACATGCGATCAAGGTCCTCTGCCGACATGATTTCAATACTGGGTCCCCACGCGTCAGCCATGTTAATCGGCCGGAATATCGAATCAACAGGGCTCTGTCTTAGCCAGTGCGCGTCGCCTGCCTCGGAAAGCTCCTTGTGCATGCGCGCCACCTCCTCGCGCACGCGGTGTGCCACCAGCGGAGGATACTCGCCTCCCAGCCCCAGGTCCCGGCACAGGCAGCGCGCAAACTCTTCTGGCCTCGAGCCGAGAGGCTCGAGAATATCCCATTCGACGCGGTCTCGCAGCACATGCGGCCCAACCTGCACCTCAATATTAAGGTTGACACGCAGCTCTGGGCCCCGATATGCACAGTCGCTGGCCGAAATGTGCTCTGCAACCTGCTGCTGGATGAGCTGCGCAATATGCTCTTGCGCTCCAGCCCGCCCACTCGATGGCAGGGACAGGTCAGCACAGTACACGGCAGCAAATTGCTCTGGCGTAATAACTTGCTCCTGCGCGTTCCACACAAACACGTCGTGCAATCTGTAGTCTCCGACCTCCAGCTCTAGTCTTATTGGAACCAGCGACTCTTCCTGCTGCGCCAGCCACGCCGCCTGGTTGTCTCGCAAGTGCTGGTGCGCCGTTCGACGCCGAGCCCGCTTTTGCAGGCCCTGGTACACCGGCTGCAGCCCAATACCGCTCATCAGATCTTGCGCTGTGACTTTGTCGCCGCCGCCGTCGTTATCGCTGCCGTGTTTGATAGAGCTTTGCTCGGTCTCAAATGCTGACTCGAAATCGTCATCGCCGCCGCCAAAATCGTTTTCAGAATCAGAACTCCACTCTCTCAAATTACGGCGGCTAGCGCGCGTAGACCGTGCGCGCAGATTCATATTGCCACTGCCCGCATTATTTGGACTCCCAAAGCTACCTAGGCCACTCAGACCGCCAGTGCCGCCTGCACCACCACCAGCGCCCAACGCCGACAGCACAAGCATTGCTGTGTCTCCCTCCTTGAGTCTCTCCAGATAGGAGCTGCTAAAGAGGCCTAGTCGCTGCATTGTAAAATAAGAGAGTGATTTCGACGCAGATGCAAAAAAGGCTTTTAAAATGTGTAAGGGGAAAGCGCTGGATTTTCTGTCGACAAACACGAAAAAAATAACGTGTCAATTGGTCACGTGATTCATGCAAAGTAAAATTTTGGAAGTTTGATTTAGAAAGGCAAAAGTAGTGTGAATATTGGGGATGCAAAAAGTAAACTATCGCGATTGCAGTCCCTAACGCCGCGTTGGAAACCGTGATGCCAATATTCTGGACTTGTAAGTCGCATGTAGCGCAATTAGCAGCAGCAACAGCACGGGCAGCAGCAGCAATGGCAGCAATGGCAGCAGCAGCAGTGGCAGCAGCAGCAGCAGCAACACGGGCAGCAGCAGCAGCAGCAGCACAGGTTTTTGCCAGCCGGGCGGCCCTTTGCTCCCACATCATGCTTTGCCGCATCGGGAGACTGCGAGCTTTGGTTCATCGAACGTTGCACTTTGTCCATCCAGTCCTCCCGCTCCTTGGGCGTCATCTCGGCCATCGACTTGTTGAACTTTTGGGCCCACTCGTGCTGCTGCTCGGGCGTCATCTTTGCTGCGGGATCGGGGAAGAAAAGCATCATCTGCTTCATCGTGGGCTTTGGTCCTGCACTGTCTGTGTTGGGTGCGGAAAGAGCAACGACGTCGTTAACAGTTTGCTCTGAAGCTTGCTCATGACGAGCCATCTGTGGGTTTGGTCCGGGGCTAAGGGCATGGGGCACTGCTGCGGCTACGGGCGCACGTACAGTGCTGTGGCGGCTATCTGCTGCTGGAGCTACTGGTGCAGGAGTGGCAAAGTGGTGCGGGATTTGTGCGGGAGCTACAGCCGATGATGTCACAGGTACATTGCTGGCAAATACCTGCACAATCAGTGGCACAAACGAGATAAAAGTCGACACGCGCATGGTAGTAGATATGAATGGAAGACAATGAGATATTTTGCAAGGAGTGCGCTGGCGTGGCAACTTTTATACGTCTGTGCCAGTGGGGCAGTTGTGCATTATGCCATTGAGCTATTTTTGTTTGCTCGCTTTATTCAAGAACACAGCATCTGGGAAGCATTTTGCTGGAGATGATGCTTTACACGGGCAAAGCGTTATTGACTAGTCCCCACACCAAAGTATTTTATTAGTGGGGTGTGTGAATGGGGGGTACTCACGCACACAATTTAACTAAAAAAGTTTCTGGTTGTTAGGGAAAGCTGTCTGCAATGGAAAGTTCCCAAGAACAATTAAAAAAAAGTACATGCCATAACACCGGGACAGCGTTTTCATAGTTATCCGCTAAAAAATGACAAAAAGATTTTGGAACCACGGGGTCTCGATCCCCGGACATCTTGCATTTTTGATAGCACCAATTGCGCTACTGCAAAGCAAGCACTCTACCACTGAGCTATGATCCCGTGACTGTTATCTACTTTATTATTCGAGTCATGATCCGGAATTGAACCCGTGAACTCGGAGGCACCCAGATACAGAAAGTATGCGTGTACCGCTTTCTCAAGCTAATAAAGCCTCTTATGAATTCTCCGCCTTAGTGTCAATATTTGCGCTTGCCAGACTCACGTGATTTTATTTTATTTGGTTTTTTTTGGTCGGGTTGGAGGTATTAGCTTGCTGGGGCGGGAGAGCCTCCAATTCCTCTGCGCTGTCTATGACTTTGCAGATTGTCCCT